CCAACCTTGACTTAGGTTAGCTACTCACGCTTTACTAGGCATTAGCTACTCAAGCTTGATCGGGATCATTACTACGCTTTACTCAGGCTCAGCTACTTAACCCTTTAAAGTTAAACCAGTGAATCTGGATTTTCTTTTTGTAGTAGACGTTTTTTCCATCCAGTGGCTTTATCAATACAGATTCTAGGACATAAAAAGGAAGGGCAGTAAACTATATCAAAAGAGAGGGAATCAGTCCCTGGCTTGGAGTTAGTGTTAAAAAACATCGTGGGGAGGAGATTTCCCCCCACCACGAAGTTTGAAGATGGGGATGGTATGGCCGCGTTCCGTAAGAAGGGGGCGGGGAATTGACTTCCCAAAATGTTTTGACCCAGGACAACGGTCGGGGAACAAAACATGGGGCGATGTGACCCCAGGAAAAAGGGCAAATCTAATGGTTCAGTGTCAAAGGAGAACGAAGGGGGGGGGGGGAAGAATGGAGATACCAAAAGGGAACCGAATGTCAAGGTATCCAAGGGAAAACCCCCAATGAAACGTTCAAGGGTCTTTTTTAAAATATAAATGGGTTTTACGGTTGTTAAAAAAACGTAATTTTTGGGGGCTTTGTTAAAAAATTATTACCGTGTTGTATTCTTACAAGAAAAAAATTAAAAAATTCTTTAGAAAAATTGCTGTTCTTGAATATATTTTGTACAGGGGGCTTTTAAATAGACTAAAAGGGTGGTTGTAGCAGTGTTAGTTAAAGAGGAAAGCCCGTTTTTTTTGAAACATAGAGGTGGGAGAGGAGGGGGGGTTGTTAGGGTTGATGGGATGGGGGTGGGGTACGGGGGGCCCTTTCCCTGGGGGTGTCGGACCGGCGGAGGTGACATGCGTTTTAAAAAAAATGCTTTTTTTTGGGACGTTTGGGTGTACCATTTAAGATCATGCAGTCGTCCGTTATTGGGGGTGATTGGAATTGCATTGATCGCGCAAGGATGTAAAACGAGAGGGAGGGGTTTTTTTTTCAGGATATTTAGGGACCTATTGCGGGTGTTTTAATGTTACGGATGTGGGGGGGGGGGGACGAGGTGGGTGGGGTCATGCATACGTTCGTTAAAAGGGAGTATGGGGTTTAAGATGGATCGATATAGTTTTCTAAAAAGTTGTCAGCGTCGGAGTTACGTGTGCTAAATGTGAGCTTTTCCGATCACAGAGGTGTTATGGCGGATGTTGACTGGGGTGGATTACGAGGCGTTACAGAGGTTTTGGAAGTTGAATGTGGGTTTAATGCACAAAAGGGTGTGGGGGGAAGATTTTGTGAGTGCTTGGAGGGGAGGGTGGGCTGAATGGCGGGGGGGGAATTGATGTATAAATGGTGGGATACGCGGTAAGGTGAAGGTGAGGAATTTTTTCAGCCAAGGAAAAGAAGACAAGAGAATGCGTATGGGTCTTAACTATCTTGAAAATAAAACTAAAGCATGTTATACAAAGGGTGGGGGAGTGTATCCGGTGGTTAAAATTGAAAATTTAACGTTAATTAGAGACATTCAAAATGTATTTTTGAGCGGCAAACGGATGAAAGGGGGAATTGATGAGGTTTTATGGGGTGACCGTCCTTCGGCGTTTGTCTTGCGAGAGCGGGGCGACGCCGAAGGCGCGAATTAATGGGATTAGAGGTTAGGAGTTTTGGGGGGGAATTTTTGTGGGGGGCGGTCCTTCGGAAAACGGAGGCTATGAATACCTTTGTAGAGCTGGTATGAATTGCAATACAAAAATGCTGGGATTTCAAAGGGGGGGCGGGGAGAAAAATGGGTGAATTGTACGTTGTAATTAGAGTACATGGACAGGTTGGCTTTGAATGGACCTATAAGTGAAAAAGGGAAGATTGGGTTGGTGTGGAGGGTATGAGTTTGGGAAAGTCCCCGGGGTTGAGGGGAATCCCTTGTGATTTTTACAAGGCAATTGGATTGTTTTCGCATTTTTTGGTGATTTTTTTAATGCCATGAAAGTAGGGGCATTATGGGGCCAGCAACAAAGAACGGGGGTGGTTGTTCTGTCCCAAAAAAAAAAAATCTGGGAATTTATATAATAATTTAGGGAATTTTTCATTAATGGTGGGACTATAAAAATTTTTGCAAATTATTGGGGAAAATAGGATAAAAGGGTTTTGGAGAGAGTTCTGGCGAGGGACAATATGGTGTGCCGGCGATCTTGTGTGTGGGACAAGGAATTATTCTCAGGTTCTTTGGGGAAAAGCGGGGGGGGGTAAAAAGGGTGGAATATTAGCTTTAGTTGGCAGCGCATACGATTGGGGGGGGGAAGAGTTGCATTATGGAAGTTTATGCGTGGCAGGTTTCGGAAAGGGAAAATTGTTAGTTGGGAAAGGTTTTGTCGAGCGGTTTCCGTTTAGGGTGCAGGTAAACGGTGGGTTTGGGGAAAAAGTTGTTGGATGCAAGGGGATTAGGGCAGGGGTGTCCTATATCCAAATTCTTTTTGCGTTGTTTTGGGGCCCCTTTTTTTGAGGTGGGGGGGGATTGTACACAGGTGACAAGCAAGGGTTTGGGGGGGGGTACAATAGGAATTATAGGTTACGTGGACGGGGCACTACGGTTTTATTTTGTTTGGAGCAAGGTTTTAGGAAAAATGAGCGAATTGGTGGAAATTTTTGGGGGGAAAACAACCCGGAATGGGCGGTTAATAGGAAAAAAACAATGCTTAGGGGGTGGGGGATTTTGCGGGTGTGGTATTAGGCCCGAGGGAAGGTGGCCCTTTTGTAAATCAAAATTTAAAGGGGTGTGGGATTTTTGCATTGGGTAACATACAGGAGCGAGGAAGGGGAATTCAAGTGAGGCTGTAGAGGGGTTTTTTTGGTGTTTAACAGGTTTTGAGGGAGGAGGCTTGTATACATCGCGGCAATTGTGGTGAATGTGATTTTGTTTAGTAATTGGGCATGTGGATGTATTTATCCCTTACTCCATATGATGAAAAGGATGTTAACGCGGTTATAGATATATTTGGGGTTAGGTTGTGATTGGTTAACGAGGGATGTGGTGTCGTTCCCGGGTTTGGGCCGGGGTGGCCCCCGGGGGGAATGAATCTGCAAATGTGTTAGGCGTATGCAAACATAGCTATTGGAGAGGGTGAATGGCCGGCACGGGTTTGCTGGATAAGACGGGACTTGGTAGTTGGTTGACCGGAAAAGGATGTAAGAGATGTGAGGACTTGTTGGGATTTAATTTTGTAAAAGATCCACGCAAGATCAAGATGGCAAAATTGGCATGGTAGAGGGCAGGGGGGTAGTGGTAAGGTGGAGGGATATATCCAATGTATGCTGGGAAAGGGCATATGGGGTCGTTTTAAAAGCATTTAAAGGGTTTCGAGCCCAAAGGGCAGGAGTAATGTTTAAATTTTTACATAAAATACTGCCGTCCCGGGGGGGAAATTTTAGCGAATAGGCGCGTGCAGGAGGGGGGGTGTGTTTTGTGTGGAGATCCTGATACGGTTTTTATGCAGTTTATTTCGTAGAGATTGGAACACGGGGAAGGTTGTGGGTTTTGGGAAAGGGGTTTAAAAATGGTGGGGGGGGGGGTTTAGTGTCTTTAAGAGCTTTAAATTTAGAGTTGGGGGGGGGGGGGAAACACCGGTCAGAAAGCAATGGTATTTGTGACGGATTTGTATATGTCTGGGTATATAGGCCCTTTATCTGTGAGGGGGAGAATCGAGCACTGGTAGCTATTTTTGGTACCAACAGAGAAATAAAGACATTACGGGAAATAGATGGTTTTTCTTATTTTCAAAAAGGGTATTGCGATTTAAGGGGGGGATTTTGGGAGTTAATACCTTAAAGGGTACCGAGGCTGGGTTTTGAATATGTGTGGTGAAGGTGGCATACGATTGGTATGGGTGTGTTTTAAATTATAAATGATAGGTATGATCGTTTAGTTTGGATGATGTTTTATTCAAACAAATTATATACTATTGCTTGGGAAAATAATTTTTGTTTTAAATTAGTGATTAAGAGAGTGGGTTCTTGTGAAGCAAATCATGAACTGCTGACAGGGGTTATGTAAAGCACCTTGTGCAACTTATAATATAGTTTTTTTTTTATTTTCCTTGTATCAGCCATTTTGGTGAACCCGGTAAAAAGTTCTGCTTGGGGTCTCCTGGGAATATGTTTTGGGGAAAGTGATCAGATTGGGGGAACAATTTTTTTATTATGTGTACATAATCTCCATGTGGTTGTATATGTGTAAGAATGGGTGTTTTTTGTTGCATAATGTTACTTGTTTGGCAAATTTAGAAAATTTTTCATGCTATTAAGTGGAACCCCTTTTGTACTGTATGAATTTTTTGTATTTTGCAGTTGTCAAGAAATTGACTACCAGTTTCATTTCATATCGTTTGTTTTTGGATATTTTGTTATATTTATTGTTTTGTTTTATGTCTTTCAAAAGGGTTTTTTTTGCATAAAAACAAACCTAAGGCATATTATGATGAATGTTTTCTTTGTTTATAATGTTATAAAAGGGTTTTAATTAAGGTAACGAAGAATTTGATATTCTTGTGTTCCCTTGGTAGGACATAAAAAATGGGGACTGACGAATATTTATAACCGTTCTAGTGTATATATTGACAATTGTAATTATACTTACTATGAATGTAATGGAGGTTTTTTATATATTTAATATGTTGTTATATGACGTTTTAAATAAAATAAAAAAAAAAAAAAATAGGGATTAATGTATATACTCTGGGAGAAATACAACCCTTTAAGTACATATCCTGTGTTGCATAGACATATGACCAGAGCTTAAACACTAGATCAGAAGTCAGGTACAACACTTGGAGTTGACTGTGAGGGAAAAGTAGGTGTAAGTGGGGTTAAGGTTGTTCGGGCAACCAGGAACCATTAGCGAGTTACGTTGCGCGCGCACACACCCCCCCCTCTCTGGCGGGCTGGGGCAAAACTAGTTCCTGGTGTCCGATTTGTTAAAGTTTCTACTCTTGGTAATATATGACCTTACCTGGTGTGGATTGAAGTTTGGAGAGTCACTTCGCCTCCACTCTTCTCCTAATCAGGTAGGGTGATCTACCAGGAGTATTACTGTTTGTTCTTTTCTAGTGTTTGCTGGTTACCAGTAATGATTTTGGCATTTTATCATTCTTTTTCTTTCTTAAATGTTATATTATCATGACTATGGGTAACCAGTTTTATTTTCTCTTATTTGTCAGCTCTGTTCCTGGCGTGGTCTTCCAGGATAGACGCCAGATAAAGGGGCAAGACGTGTGTTAATAATACTTATTAACATTATTCTACAACTACCGGCCCTTACCTATTCTACTTGTGCTCCATCCAAGTGGTAGGAGATTCCAGAACATCGGATTACCATCTGCCCAGGATAACCTACATAAATAACATCAGAGGAACTATCCAGGGCCATACCTACTCCTACCCAACTACAAGAACTGAAGGCCAATTTTTTTTTTCATTATATTTAAATTTTAAGTAAAATTCTCAAATCATTTTTCTTGTTTTTCCTAAATCATTTCTTTATTTATTTTTCCATTAGTTTCTTCTGTTCAGTTGGAAGGCGTTCCACTGACAATGGCGACCTTGCCAGGATCCGACTCTTGAAGCAACATCGTCCTGATGGTTCAACTGGTTGTGAGTATAACATTTAAGATAGAAAAGGGTGAGTTAGTTGAGGTGTCAAGTCATTACTGGTAGTCTGGTTGACTTACCGTTGTTTGGTTCTAAGGTTCGGTTTAGAAGTTTACCTATTTGTTGGACCTGGGGAACTTTGATAATAACCCCTCCTGTGTGAACCGTGTGTATTTTGCTTAGTGAAGGCTATTGAGCCCACAAGTGTATTCTTCCAGGGAGAAATATTTATTTCATTTTCTACTTTGGGAAGTTTAAAGTGTGCGGACTGTGTCCCTCTTTTGTAACAGACGTTACTGTTAATTTTAATTGTCAGTTGAAGTTGGGTGCTTAATATTTCTTTTTACAAGATGGATTCTTTAGATTTCTGGTTGAAAGCTGGAAAGGAAATGGGATTTACTGGGACAAAAGCCTTGATAGTTACATTACTGCTAAAATGGCTATTGAAGAGAAAAAGGAACAGGAAAGACTAGCTCGAGAGGAGAAAAGACTAGCTCGGGAAGAGAAAAAGGAACAGGAAAGACTAGCTCGGGAGGATAAAATCGAACAGGAAAGGATAGCTAGAGAGATAGAGTTCAGGCAAGAGAGGTTAGCCTTCAAAATGAAGGAAATTGAGTTAGAACAATCAGATTGGAATTAAAAGCCAAGAAGGTAGAACTATCTAAGCAGAAAATAGATGAAGGGGTACTGGAATACCCTTCCCAAGAACCTAATATTAGGATGCCACAAATACCACCTTTCTCGGAACAAGATGACATAGCGCATATATTACTAGATTCGAGAGTACTGCTACTCTCTGTGACTGGCCAGTTGATTCTTGGGCTACTAGGCTTGGCTTACTACTGTCAGGTTCAGCACTAAACGTCTATTCCACTCTACCCTTGATGTTATTTCTAGTTATAGCCTGCTGAAGAAAGCTATACTCCAGGCTTTCAAAAAAACTACTCATCATTACAGGTCGGAGTTTAGACACATTAAAATAACTCCATCAAAATTACATGCAATTCTTAACAACACTTTTCAGATTATTTGATTCGTGGATTGATAGTGCTGAGGTTGACCACGATTTCGAATCTTTACGAGACCTGATGGTAAGAGATCAATTCCTTTCTTCTGTAAACTCTGACTTACGAATATTCATTAAAGAACGAAACGTTCATACGGCTGCAGAAATGGCACAAGCTGCGGATATATATGCGTGCGCTCATAATAACTACCCTAAAGAGCGTAGCAGATATAAGCCTGTGGTGCCTAAGCAATCTGAGGGATCCAAACCCTCCGTACCTAAGAATTCCACGGCCTTCACAGTAAAGTGTTTCAACTGTAATGAGTGGGGTCATAGAAGGCCCGACTGTCCTAGAAAAAAAGGTGAAAATGTCGGTAAATGTTTCACTGAATCAAACATAAACGCACCTTTTAGTGAAGGTACAGTCAATGGTATGAATGTGTCAACCATTCTTAGAGACACTGGATGTTCCTGTATTATCTCAAGTAAGCTTTTCCCTAACCTAGATTCTTCACGTTATAAGTCCACTAAGTTAACTGACTATTTAGGAAGAAGCGATTCTTTTCCAACAGTCAGATGTTTTGTTAGGTGCAAATGGTTCTCAGGATGGGTAGATGCCGTAGTTGCCCCGATAACCTCGTGTTCTGTTTTGGTTGGGAACATAAAAGGGGCTGCTTTCCCATCTGAGAAGGACTGTTTGGAATTTGGAGTTTCCAAGGAAGGGTTGGAACCTAATATCTGTTTCTTCACAGATAGTTCCAGATGAGATTCAGTTGGGTAACCTAAATCAGAGAGCTGATGGTTACAAAACTCCGGTAACACCTTTAGTAAGTCAGTCACTTGAACTGGACGACGCAGACACCAGTGGAAAACTACGTGTGGCACAATCTATACAACAACTAGACTCGATTAACGTCGTTACCAGAGCTCAGTCTAAGGTAAAACCTATCCACCCATTAGTTCTTTCCAAAGGAAAGCCAATTCGAGCTGTCTCATATAGATTTGGAAGGGTCTTCAAAAGACTTGTCCTTCCTTAGAGGAATCTCGGAAGTTAGCTTTAAATGGCAAGGTGACCCAGAGAAAGAAATTTTCTTACAAGTTTGAGTTCAAACACGATCTTTTGTACAAGACTATAGTGTCTGCGGACAAGCCCAATGACGTTGGTCGAAGCCTGTTAGTCATTCCGCAGGATTGCGTGAAACTATTTTAAAGATTTCTCATGACTTGCCAGTCTCTGGCCATTTTTCACATAGGAAGACCTATAATAAAATCAAGGACCTATATTTCTGGCCTAGCATGTCCTCCAACATCTATAAGTACTGCAGATCATGTCACGTATGTCAACTTTCCACGCAGAAGGGTAGAACTAGGAGAGTTCCTATGGTAAAGATGCCAATTTTCTCAGTCCCTTTTGCAAGGGTTGCAGTAGATATAGTTGGTCCTATCACACCTCGCTCATCAGGAGGTCATAAATATATTTTAACTATGATTGACTACGCGTCCAGCTTCCCAGAGGCGGTACCCTTAAAATCCATTACGTCCATAGAAGTCGCAGAAGCCTTATTTTCTATTTTTTCACGTGTAGGTATACCTCGTGAAATTCTGTCGGATAAAGGGGCTAAATTCACTTCAGAATTAATGGAACAAGTTTATCAACTTGTGGGTGTTAAACCTCTTTTCACTACACCTTACCATCCGATGTGTAACGGAAGAGTGGAGCGACAACATGCCATCCTAAAGTAAATACTAAAAAAACTGTATTCTTAAACCAACGGACTGGCATAGATTTTTACCATGTGCTCTTTTCGCAATGCGCGAGATTCCAAGTGATTCCCTTGGTTATTCCCCTTTTGAATTGCTTTATGGGAGACAAGCTCGTGGTCCACTATCTATTTTGAATGAACTTTGGTCCAAAGATATCAAACCTGAGGTTCAAAACAGCTATCAGTTTCTTTTAGATCTAAGGGAAAGGTTGGAAGAAACCGCCGATTTGGTCAGTAAAAACCTAGAAATGTCTATGGAAACATAAAAGACCTATTTTGACCATAAAAGCTCCAAGCGTACGTTTAATGTTGGTGATGAAGTTTTAGTTCTCCTACCTGACAAATCAACAAATTGCTAATTACATGGCGCGGACCGTATAATGTAGTGAGTCTGCAATAAGGTAGATTATATCTTGGATGTCAAGGGTAGAGAAAGAATGTATTACGTCAATATTTTGAAACGGTACCATAGAGAAGTTAATCTTTGCGTAAATGCCTTTGACGAAGATACTTCTTCTTTCAGCTTGGATACAAGTGGTGATTCGTTACGAATGTAGAGTTTGTATTATAGATGACGAGTCTTTTACAGAATCGAAGGAACTACTGGATATCTTAACGCATGATCCCTCACCAAAGAAGTCAAATGTCAACATTAACAACGACTTATCAAATAAACAAAAGTCTCAAGTAAGTGCCTTAGTAAATTCATTTTCTGACGTATTCACAGAGGTACCAGGACTTACCACCACTATTGTACACAAGATTGAATTGTCGGATCATGAACCAGTAAAGCGGAAAGTCTACCCTGTTCCCGTTCACTTACGGAAAACTTTTGATAATGAGGTTGACAAACTATTTAACTTAAACATCATTGAACCTTCGAAATCAGCTTTCTGTTCACCAGTTATGGTTAAGAAACCCGATAATTCTTACCGACTGGCACAAGATTTTCGTTATTTGAATACTATAACTAAATGGGATGCAGAACCCATGCCAGTAATTGATCATGACTTGTATAAATTCCATGACTGCAAATTCTTCTCGGAATTAGACATCTCACAAGCATACCATCAAGTGCCATTACACCCAGACTCTAAACAATACACTGCTTTCCCTACTCATAGAGGTCTAATGCAATACCGCACAATGCCTTTCGGCTTGGTTACCGCGTGTGCCACGTATATTAGGCTTATGAGAATAGTTCTTTCTGATCTAAAGAATGTATCAGTGTATTTTGATAATATTTATATCATGACAAATGTCTGGGAAGACCATCTAAATACACTATCGCTTGTTTTGAAAAGACTAAGAACTCATGGACTTACAGTTAAACCACAAAAGTGCTTTCTTGGCTATCATAAGGTACAATACCTTGGGTTCATTATCTGATAACTTTTCACCACTTCCTAATAAGACCAAAGCTGTTTTAGAAAGTACGTTCCCTGCTACCAAAAAGTTATTAAGAAGTTTCCTTGGATCTGTAAACTTCTATAGAAATTTCGTACCAAATCTAAGTAGCTTAACTTCAGTTCTTACAGACTATTTGAAAAAGGGTGTCAAGGAACCTCTTAGTTGTTCTGAGGAAGCTAACCAAAGCTTCGAAGAAATTAAGAGTATATTTTCAAACCCCCCCTGTCCTAAAATTACCAGATATTAATAAAATATTTTGTCTCCGAACAGATGCCTCCCATTCTGGACTCGGGGCTGTACTACTACAATATTATGAGGAGACACCTTTCCCAGTATCTTTCGCCAGTAAGAAGCTTCTGCCCAGAGAAGAAAGATATTCCACTGTGGAGAAAGAATGTTATGCTTTAGTATGGGGTATAAGTAGATTTAAATACTACCTATACGGTAAACCCTTTGTGCTTGAAACAGATCACAAGCCACTGATGTACTTGGAAAACTTTAAAGGGTCAAATAGCAGACTCTTGAGATGGGCTCTGGCTATTCAGCCCTATAAGTTTAAAGTCGTTTATATTTCTGGCTCTGAAAACCACTTTTCAGATTGGCTGAGCCGAGGTTGTATTTAGTTCTTTTCCCTCTGTTCGTTGACTTATTGACTCCGTCCATAAGTTTTGGAAGGGGGTATTGTGAGGGAAAAGTAGGTGTAAGTGGGTTAAGGTTTTCGGGCAACCAGGAACCATTAGCGAGTTACGTTGCGCGCGCGCGCGCACACCCCCCCCCCCCCTCTCTGGCGGGCTGGGGCAAAACTAGTTCCTGGTGTCCGATTTGTTAAAGTTTCTACTCTTGGTAATATTGACCTTACCTGGTGTGATTGAAGTTTGGAGAGTCACTTCACCTCCACTCTTCTCCTAATCAGGTAGGGTGATTCTACCAGGAGTATTACTGTTTGTTCTTTTCTAGTGTTTGCTGGTTACCAGTAATGATTTTGGCATTTATCATTCTTTTTCTTTCTTAAATGTTATATTATCATTGACTATGGGTAACCAGTTTTATTTTCTCTTATTTGTCAGCTCTGTTCCTGGCGTGGTCTTCCAGGATAGACGCCAGATAAAGGGGCAAGACGTGTGTTAATAATACTTATTAACATTATTCTACAACTACCGGCCCTTACCTATTCTACTTGTGCTCCATCCAAGTGGTAGGAGATTCCAGAACATCGGATTACCATCTGCCCAGGATAACCTACATAAATAACATCAGAGGAACTATCCAGGGCCATACCTACTCCTACCCAACTACAAGAACTGAAGGCCAATTTTTTTTTATTATATTTAAATTTTAAGTAAAATTCTCAAATCATTTTTCTTTTTCCTAAATCATTTCTTTATTTTTCCATTAGTTTCTTTTGTTCAGTTGGAAGGCGTTCCACTGACATTGACGTCACGGGCGATTGACGTCAACTCATTAGTGAAGTGAATCGTGAAAATGGTACGTTGGTCAGTGAAGCATTTCTGACATCCAGCTATAGTTATTTAGATAAAGATTCGTAATATAAATAAAAATATATAATGTTAATTAAGAAAATATCTTCAAATAAGTTGCAGATATATCTCTTGACCACTAACAGCCTCGTTAAAGAAATATGACAAAACACTTGACAGTGGTTTTGAGAGAGCTGGTTCAGTCTCTCTGCCTCAACCTTACATGTCAGCGACTGTGATCAGTTTAGCGTTGGGTGAGGTAGTGACCGCATGTGTGTTACAGTGCGCAATGTTACTTGTTAAGTACACAAATAACCCGCACATAGAAGAGAGGAGCTTACGACGACGTTTCGATCCGACTTGGACCATTTTCAGTCACACTTACGAGAAGTAGAGCAGGAAGGGTAAATGATCCAAGTCGGACCGAAACGTCGTCGTAAGCTCCTCTCTTCTATGTGCGGGTTATTTGTATATCGTTCCAGTCACGGTATTGTGCCTTTTTTTTGTTATTTACGTGTTAAATGTTAGTGATACAGTGAGTGATATGTGAAACGTAACGCGCAACGTGTTATTGATATGTGGATAAAATCAACGGTAAATATAATCTTGCAGTGTGTACGATGTCATAAGATAAGATTACAATGTTTATTATTGGCTGTCCTCAAGGGGGATTTTTAAGCGACTTTCAATTTTCTTTAGAATTTCAAATTTTCGTTTTTCGTTCATAATGCGAGAAGCATTATCCAATGTTCTTCTAAACAGTAAGGTTAATGGAAGAATATCGCTGTATAGCCCTTGTGGCTTAGCGCTTCTTTTTTGATTATAAAAATAATAATAATAATGGAAGAATAAGCAAGTGCACGTCGTCACTGTCTCAAGCTGTTGAAACCACTTTTTCATTCTGGCATAGCTCGAGGCCTGGTCACAGACCAGGTGAGGCCTGGTCATAGACCATGTGAGGCCTGGTCACAGACCAGGTGAGGCCTGGTCACAGACCAGGTGAGGCCTGGTCACAGACCAGGTGAGGCCTGGTCACAGGACCAGGTGAGGCCTGGTCACAGACCAGGTGAGGCCTGGTCACAGACCGGCGAGGCCTGGTCACAGACCTGGCGAGGCCTGGTCACAGACCAGGTGAGGCCTGGTCACAGACCAGGTGAGGCCTGGTCACAGACCAGGTGAGGCCTGTGTCACAGACAGGTGAGGCCTGGTCACAGACCAGGTGAGGCCTGGTCACAGACCAGGTGAGGCCTGGTCACAGACCAGGTGAGGCCTGGTCAGACCTGGCGAGGCTGGTCACAGACCTGGCGAGGCCTGGTCACAGACCTGGCGAGGCCTGGTCACAGAACCAGGTGAGGCCTGGTCACAGACCAGGTGAGGCCTGGTCACAGACCAAAGGGGAGGCCTGGTCACAGACCAGGTGAGGCCTGGTCACAGACCAGGTGAGGCCTGGTCACAGACCAGGTGAGGCCTGGTCAGACCTGGCGAGGGGCCCGGTCACAGACTGGGGAGGCCTGGTCACAGACTGGCGAGGCCTGGTCACAGAACCTTTGGGGAGGCTGGTCACAGGGCCTGGCGAGGCCTGGTCACAGACCTGGCGAGGCCTGGTCACAGACCTGGCGAGGCCTGGTCACAGACCTGCCGAGGCCCGGTCACAGATGGCGAGGCTGGTCACAGACCGTGCAGTACGAAGTGTTATCCCCCGAAAGCCTCTCCAGGTACACAGCTTCAAACAATCATAAAAGTCGCCTCTTAATTCACCGACGACAGAGTGAAAAATTCAGGTGTGTATGTGTAGAGTTGTCTTTTCGGAAATATAATCAAAAAGCTACACGATCTTTCGACTGGCGTCGTCCCAATATGCATTGTTGCAAGAAACCCAGAATGGGGACAGAGCTTGTGACCTTATGGGTTTTAGCGCTTAGTTATGATGATAAAATAATAACAGGAGGAAAAAAAATGGGGAAAGGCAGAAAAAAACCCTAAAAACCTTCTGTTTTGTTCAAAGATTTTCCCTTTTTTCTGTTGCTTTCTTGCAAATTGCATAGCCCCTGAAAAACGCAGAGAGTGCGAAGATCTTCATTTTTTAAAATAGCTATTTGGGTTGCATTCCCTAGGTTCCTCTTGTGAGGTCTTCGGTTTAAGTTGACGCAGTGACAACCTTGAAAGTCCTTTAAAATGGGCTTAAAAAATGTCCCCAAATCTTGGGGTTTACTGAAAAAATATTCGCCTTTTTATTAAGTCAAAAGGAAGTTTATTTAAATTTTTTTAATTTAAAATGTTCCCTCTAACGCCCCAAAAAATTTTTAATGAATCATTTTTTTGGGAACCTCTTTCCATAAATTTTTTTTTTTAAGGGGGTTAAATTTTTTAATGAAATTTTTTTAGAAAGATGACCAGCCATAAATTTATAATTGTAAGTACAAATTTGGGAAATATTCCTGAAATTGCTTAAGGTTTGGAATCTTTTGGAATCTGTCATTTTTTCAAATACCTTTTCTGATCCCCTTTCAAATTTCTCCTTTGGGGTGGATTTTTATAACAAAAATTTTTTTTGTTTCCGACTTTGAGTTGTGATGATTTCAATTTGCAAAAATTTTTAATTCCAAATTTCCCCGTTAAAAAAAAAAAAAAATGTTATTTTTTTTAAAACCCCGCCAACACGTGTGTGAATAACAAGATTCCCAAAATATTAACAATTAACAATTTTAAAAAACAAAATTACCACAAATAATTAAAAATTTTTAAAAACAAATATACACCAAAAACTTTTAAAATCCTAGCAACAAAAAAACCAATGGGGCTTTAAGTACCCCCTTCACCAAAGACGGTTAACGGGGGCCTCCCAGCAAAACATTTAAGGGGGTTTAACCAACGGGACCCGGGGGGGGCGGTCCCCAAGCTAAGGAACTGGAAAACAACATATAAAAAGGCGGTTTTTTTGGTAAAGGGGGTTTTTGTTGGTCGTAGGTTTTTGGGCGGGGCACCCGGGAATTTTTTTAACACCTTAAACGCTTTTAAACCGGGAACCTTTTTTTCCCCACCAAAGGGGCCCAAAAAGGGTTGAATGAAAAACTTAAAAAAAAGGTTTAAACCCCGGGTAAAAAAACCCCGAATAAAAATGTTTAAAAATGCTTTAAAAACAAAAAAAAAGGGAACAAAACTTTTTAAAAAGAAAAAAACAAATTTAAAAACAATTTCCCAATTTAAACCCCTTTTCCCCAAAAAAAATTTTAAAAAAAGGTTTAAAAGCCCCAGAACCCCCAACAACCCCCCTCCCCCAACCCCCCCCCAACCAAACCCCTTTTACAACCCCACTTAAAACCCCAAACCCCAAAAACCTTTCCCCTTCCAAACCCACTCCAAACCCCCCCACAACCCCCCCCCAAACCCCCCCCCACAACCCCCCCCCCCACAACCCCCCTCCAAAAACCCCCCTCCAAAACCCCCCCCTCCAAAAAACCCCACTCCCACCCCCCCAAACCACAACCCCCCCCCCCAAAACCCCCACTCCAAACCCCCTCCCACAACCCCCCTCCAAAAACCCCCCCCAAACCCCCCTCCACAACCCCCCTCCCACCCCCCCCCCCTCCAAAAAAACCCCCCTCCAAAAACCCCCCCCCTCCACAACCCCCCTCCAAAACCCCCCCCTCCACAACCCCCCCCCAAAACCCCCCCTTCCACAACCCCCCTCCAAAACCCCCACTCCACAACCCCCCCCCCCAAAAACCCCCCCCCCAAAACCCCCCTCCACAACCCCCCCCCACAAACCCCCCCCCAAAACCCCCCTCCACAACCCCCCTCCAAAAACCCCCCCTTCCACAACCCCCCCCCCAAAACCCCCCCCACAACCCCCTCCAAAACCCCCCTCCACAAACCCCCCCTCCCACAACCCCCCCCCCACAACCCCCACTCCAAACCCCCTCCAAAAACCCCCCTCCACAACCCCCCCCCAAAAACCCCCTCCACAACCCCCCAAAACCCCCCCAAAACCCCCCCCTTCCCCCAACCCCCCCCTCCAAAAAACCCCCCTCCCCCCCAAAAACCCCCCTCCACAACCCCCTCCAAACCCCCCCTCCCAACCCCCCCTCCAAACCCCCCTCCACAACCCCCCTCCACAAACCCCCCTCCCCCCCCCACAACCCCCCTCCAAAACCCCCCTCCCCCAACCCCCCCCCCAAAACCCCCCCTCCACAACCCCACCCCAAAACCCCCCTCCAAAACCCCCCCCCCACAACCCCCCCCCAAAACCCCCTCCAAAACCCCCCCCTCCACAACCCCCCCCCAACAACCCCACTCCAAAACCCCCCCTCCACAACCCCCCCCGTCCCCCAGATCATACCATTGTTCATTGTACGCAAAAAATTACAAACAGGATTTAAACCTTGATCTTTGACTCTTGTTGACAAAAAAAAAAAATTTCCCTCTTTAGATAAGAAACATAGATGATCCCAATATGGAAAAATGATATTTAGAAAAAAAAAAAACATAAGTTTTTAAATTTAAAGAAAAAAAATTATGACTAACTAAAAACAATTTATGTAATTATGAATGTGGGGCAACCATGAGCCTTTACAATGTTAGTCACGGGGTAAAATTTTTACAAAATTCTGTATGTACAAAAATTGATACATAATATTATATGAATATGAAAAAATTTTTTTCACCGGAGTTATTTTAGTGTCATCATGCCCCTTAACTTACATAAGATTATAAAAAAATCCGAATCAATATATTAAATCGATTTTCCATGTTTAATATTTTACTTTTAAATTAAAACCCATTAAATACAAATATTTTTAGGACATTTCA